CTCGAATTTTTCCCCTTTTTCAACGCATAAAAAACAAAGGGAAGATTTAAATACCTTACCACCCTTTTTTTAAAAAAAGTGTCACAATGCTATCACCTCATTGCAACACTCTTTAACAAACCATTTAATCCTCCCCTTCCCTACGTTCTCAAAATAGCAAGGTCACCCCGATCCACAAAGGAGGACAAACAGAGTTTAATAAATATAGGCCAATATCCAAATTTCACCCCCTCAAAAAAACTCGAAAAAATTTAAATTTATAAAAGAATCTACTCCACCTTATTCCCAAAACATACTCAACCCCGCCAATTTTGGTTCAGGCCCATAAAAAAATAAAATCTATTATACACATGCAAAAACAAAAAACCCGAATAGAGAAAAAAAAAAGTCCCCCTGGGGGTCTTCATTACTTACAAAGCTTTTGATACAGTTACCATGACTTGCTCCTCGAAAAATTGTCACACATGGATAAGAGGGCACTCCCTCAAAACCTCAAGTCATACCCCGCAACAACCAATATTGTTGCAAATGGGGCAAAACCCTTTGCACAACCAAATTTCAGTTGGTGTCCCCCAGGGGAAGTGTCCTTGGGCCCCCTTTTCTTTCTCCTATAATAAAGACCTACCCAAAAAGCTTCGCAAATTCTCAAACCCACCTATTTGCAGTGACACTACATACGTATTCAGATTTTGGAGGGACGTGCAGCGAGGGCTATGAAAGATGAGGTGAATCATAGAATTGAGAGGGGAAAGGGTGAGTGGTGCACTTAAGTCTGTGGAACAAAAACTTTGTCCTTTGGGGGCAAAGAGGGGAATGTATGAGGTATAGTTTTACCAACGTTTTTATATGGGTGTGAAGCATGGGTGATGAATGTTGCAGCGAGGAGAAGGCTGGATTCAGTGGAGATGTCATGTCTGAGGGCAATGTGTGGTGTGAATATAATGCAGAAATTCGTAGTTTTGGGAAATTAGGAGGAGGTGCGGGATTACAAAAATGTTGTCCAGAGGGCTGAGGAAGGGTTTTTTGAGGTGGTTCGGACATGTAGAGAGAATGGGACGAAACAGAATGACTTCAGAGTGTATCATCTAGTGGAAGGAAGGGGGGGTAGGGGTCGGCCTAGGAAAGGTTTGGGGGGAGGGGTAAAGGAGGTTTTATGTGTGAGGGGGTTGGACTTCCAGCAGGCATGCGTGACGTGTTTGATAGGAGTGAATGGAGACAAATGGTTGTTAATACTTGACGTGCTGTTGGAGTGTGAGCAAAGTAACATTTTTATGAAGGGTTCAGGGGAAACCCGGGAGGCCGGACTTGAGTCCTGGAGATGGGAAGTACAGTGCCTGCACTCTGAAGGAGGGGTGTTAATGTTGCAGTTTAAAAACTGTAGTGTAAAGCACCCTTCTGGCAAGACAGTGATGGAGTGAATGATGGTGAAAGTTTTTCTTTTTCGGGCCACCCTGCCTTGGTGGGAATCAGCCAGTGTGATGATAATAAAAAAATTAAACTACAGTATAAATAATGTCAACCCATTTATGACTGCATATTGGAATGGCTATTCGGACAGGTATTGGAAGGTGACATCATGTGTTTACTCTTGAACACAGCAAAGAATCAAACATTTGTGCTACTGCTAATAATAATAATAATGATGATGATAATAATAATATAAAAATAATATAAAAAAATACATAATAATAATAATAATAAATACGATAGAATTGAAGAAGGAAAAATTTTACAAAAATACGAGGGCTGAAGCCTTTGGGGAGGAATTGGGTTTACACACATCTGTGTGGGTTTGTTTATGCTGGAGTGAGTATTAGTCTGTGCTCTTCCCAAAAATTTTTACAATAATTCATTGTATTTGGTGCTTTTAGGTTGGGGTGACTTGGGGAGGGGGGTTTAGAGGCAGGGGTAGGGGCAGGGGTAGGGGGTGGGGGGCATTTAGAGGCAGTGTAGAGGCATGGTGGGGGGGGGCAGTGGGTGCGGCAGGGGGGAATAGACAGCGGTTGAGCAGGGTAGAGCAGTGGGTTGGCAGTGGGGTGGCAGGGGGGTAGACGTGGTATTTACTAACATATATGTTTAAAAAAACAGACATTTTAAATTTGATAACATTTAAAAAATAATAAGTTATTCATAATGTACAAATTTTATTTATAACATATTGTTAGTAAATATCACGCCTCTACCCCTGCCTCTTCACTGCCTCACCCCTCCATCCCCACTCAATCTACAACACCAAATACAATAAATATTGTGAAAAGTTTGGAAGAGCACAGAGACTAATACCACTCCACAAAACAAAGCCAACCCCACGTGTGTCAACCACTTCCCCCCACCACTGCTTCAGCCCTCGATTTTGACAAAATTTTCCCTTTTTCAATTCTATCGTATTTATTTTATTATTATTAAAAATTAAAAATTTTAAATTTTTTTTTTATTTTTATTATTATTTTTATTATATTTATTATTATTTTTATATTATATTATTTTATTATTATTTTTTATTATTTTTATATTTATTTTTATTTTTTTATTATTAATTATATTATTATATTATTATTATTTTAAATTTAAAATTTTTTAAAAAAAAAATAAAAAAAATAATAATATTAATATAATAATAATAATAATAATAAATAAAATAATAATAAAATAATAAAAATATAAAATAATAATAATAATATTTTTATTATTATTATTAGCATCACAAAGTTTTTATTCTTTGCGTGTTCAAGAGTAAACACACTCACCTTCCAATACCTTTCCCGAATACCATTCTAAAATGCAGTCATGGATTGTTTACATTTTATACTGAGTTTAACAGCAAATAATGAACAAACAAAACACTCACCACATAGTGGTGGAGGGCTGGCTCCATTTGCAGGGGCGAGGAGGTAGTAAAAGGGCTCATGGGAGAAACTTAAATATGATTGGGAGCTAGAATTTTGGGGTTGGGGAATTTTCCCAAGTGTAAGCCCGCGAAATTGAAAACGCAAAATTGGGAGGCCCGACTAGTTTTTACAAAAATCATAACATTTCGCTAAAACTCCATTTTTCTATTAATGGTACAAAAAAACCACCCATTCACCAATTTCAACTATCCAATAAAGTGGTCAGAATTTAGCAATTTTGCCAATTTCACACAAATTTCAAAAGATGCCAGTTTCCGAATAGGGTCCAGAATAAATAAGAAAGACATTCCTGGCACTAAAATAACAAGTTCTCTGTTCGTTAGTCACATCCCCAGGCCCCTCTTATATTTCTTTGGCTTTCCACTTGGAATTTTTATTATTACAAAAAATAGAAGATTTACTGTTATGCAGACTGCTGCATTAGTGTAGAAATGGTATAAATAATATCAGCGTACTTGTGAAAGAATATTAGACTCGCCAGTTGACGTGTATTGGATGCTTGGCATGATTTGTTTACTTTTGAACTTTGATAAAAATCGAACATTTCTGCTACTTTGCGCTCAATTTCAAGGTACTTTTCATTGTAAAACCAGTCAAAATCATCTCAATTTTTGTAATATGTCTTCCATTCTATAAAATGAGACCAAGAAAAGTAGAATACAACAATAAATACCATACGAAAATACAGTGCAAATTTGCTGTTTTATTCCAAAAACACCGTCAGTTTTTTTTCTCATTACGCACTGTGTGCTGCAGGATTTTTTTTATACTGAGCACACTGACCACATAGACCCATTCTTTCATATGTAGGCCTACCAGCTTTCTCTCACCAGATTTGAGGGCGCTAGAATTTAGGCGTACTATACGTCAAAAACCCTGGGTCGTAAGCCGTACTAGTACGGCCGAAACCCTCAAAGGGTTAAAGTGCAGGCATTGTACTTCCCATTTCCAGGACTCGAGTCTGTCTATTTAAACATAAATAATGGTGGTACTAACGGAGGCACCTCCCATAATCTCCATCATGCCCCCAATAAACAATGACAATGCAGTTTCAAGGCAAGTTCCCTAGTGTCCCCTTTAAACAAGATTGTCTTCACTGAGCCCCTATATAAAAGTTATGGAGCCACTCCTTGGAGATAAATGTGTAATGAGAGTGTTTTGCATAGAATTAAGTGATTAAATTAGAAGACCAGTGCTATGAAAGGTACGGTTTAAAGATCGTATATTAGCTGTCGAGATGGTTTGGTCACCTAGAATGGAGGGAGTGATGTTGGTTAGTGAAGCAGACCATAAATCTGGGAAGAATGGATGGAAGGTGGGGTAGGAAGGCAATGAGATCATGGGAAGCTGTGGGAGGCAAGAATAAAACAATGTTGGACCAAGGTGGAGAACAGGGGTGTATGGGATTTAACATGCTGTAGGTGTGAACAAGGTAGTCTTGTAAGATGCTGGGGAAGATGGTTAGCTGGACTTCAGTTTTGGAAGTATTGTGCAGTGCCTGCACTCTGAAAGTAGTGTAGTTATGTTGGGGTTTAGTGCATCAACATTGAGTATTCCACATTTCTCATTATACCCTTGGAGAACTAAAAATAATTTATACATCACTGATCTCTTATTGGTTAGTTTAGTTTTTGTCATAATGAAGTGTTAAAGGCATTTTGCAAAATGTCTTGTCATTCAATTTTGCTTGGGAAAAGTACTGTTCTATTTAGCCTTAAGCAAATTATGGTTTTTGCCCCTACTGAATGTACAAATAAAATGTTCAGAATATAATGAAAAGGTTTTTGCAGAATTACTTTGCTGTAAATCTCCCTTATATTAATTTGCCAATGGATTCATTGTTTTTGTTTTGTTAAATGAACTCAAGCAAAAAAAGCATCTGAATCTGTCAAGCAAAGTGGTAACATTGTAATTGGATTTTAGTCAGAAACTAACATGATTTAGATTACATGCGTGCCCGTTAGTTCCTTGTTTATCTGTATGTATATTACTGTTAACCCATGTCTAACCTATGTTAGCTTGGGATAATAATTTTATTAGGAATAAATTTCATTATCTTAAGAAATCTTCATTGCAAGAATCTTTCTTCAGCACTTCCCAAACATTGATAGTGAAAGAGCACTGCTGCGTCCTATCCTGTACTCTAACTGGCTGTCCAAGGATTATCTTCCGGTTGATCAGGAAGAACTCAGGGACTACGTCAAGGCCAGGCTCAAGGTACTGATGCTTAGTAAATCAGTGGTGTATGCCCTTGTGTATAAAAATGTTACTGTCTGTAGCATGCCTATTTTATAGTTATTAATATTAACATTTTCATAGAAATGTACAATATTTGATGTGGCTAATTGAGTGCAAGTATTGTTGTAATGTAATTTTATATTCTGACCCAACCTGTCTTCATAAATTGTCAGTTTTCACATACTGTTTTCAGCCAATTTTTTTATTTACATTATTGAAGTTTGGTTGTCATCTCTTAATAAACATAATTGTAACATACTACAACTAAGATGAAATATTATATAGAGGTGATAAGCTATGAAGCATGAATATAATACAGGGATCCCTTGAACAAAAATTGGATAATTGCCACTTAACAAGGCACTGGAATTAGTTTCCTGGCCTAACGCTCCAATATTTCTATCCTTATCACTAAATGTCCATACCAAGTATAATTCCTCAGTTGTTAAAATTACATTTTCAAATGAGTATCTTACTTTTTTTTAGCATTTAGCTTTTCATTCATGTGTGTTTACCATCTCATACTTAGTGTGCTATCTCTATATCATATAATAATCCTGCTTTCAATTTTTTTTTTTTTCCCTAATTAGGTATTCTATGAAGAGGAATTGGATGTGCCATTAGTGCTGTTTAATGAAGTCTTGGATCATGTTCTCCGTATTGATCGAATTTTCCGCCAGCCACAAGGCCATCTCTTGCTTATTGGAGCTTCAGGTGCTGGTAAAACAACATTGTCTCGCTTTGTAGCTTGGATGAATGGCTTGTCCATCTTCCAAATCAAAGTTCACAACAAATACACACCAGAGGACTTCGATGAGGATTTACGAGCTGTATTGAGACGCTCTGGCTGTAAGGATGAGAAAATTTGCTTTATCCTTGATGAGTCAAATGTGCTGGACTCCTCCTTCCTTGAGCGCATGAATACACTTTTAGCTAATGGAGAAGTGCCAGGGTTGTTTGAGGGTGATGAATATACAACACTTATGACACAGTGTAAAGAGGGCAGTCAGCGTGAGGGTCTAATGCTCGACTCCAGTGAAGAACTATACAAATGGTTCACAGGACAGGTTATGCGCAATCTTCATGTTGTATTCACAATGAATCCATCAACAGATGGGCTTAAAGACCGAGCTGCTACTTCTCCAGCCTTGTTCAACAGATGTGTACTTAACTGGTTTGGAGATTGGTCTAATGGTGCTTTGTTCCAGGTTGGTATGGAATTTACCAATCGTATTGATTTGGATAAGATGAACTGGCATCCTCCGGACTACTTCCCTGTAGCATTTGAACGTTTGCCAGTACCCCCATCTCACCGTGATGCTATTATTAATGCCTTCGTGCATGTTCATCAGACACTGCACCGAGCAAATGCACGTTTAGCCAAGCGTGGAAGTACTGTGATGGCTATCACGCCAAGGCATTACCTGGATTTCATTAACCATTTTGTGAAGCTGTATAATGAAAAGAGATCAGAGCTTGAAGAGCAACAGCTTCATCTAAATGTTGGTTTAGGCAAAATTGCTGAGACAGTAGAACAGGTAGAACAAATGCAGAAATCTTTGGCTATTAAAAATCAAGAGCTGCAGGCTAAGAATGAAGCTGCCAATTTGAAGCTAAAGCAGATGGTGAAGGATCAGCAAGAAGCAGAAAAACAGAAGGTTGCCAGTCAAGAGCTGCAAGAACAGCTTGAAGCCCAAACAGAAGGTATTAGTATTAAACGTGAGGAAGTTATGAAGGATTTGAGCAAGGTGGAACCTGCTGTACAAGATGCCCAGAATGCTGTTAAGAGCATTAAGAAACAACACTTGGTTGAGGTTCGATCAATGGCTAATCCTCCTCCAATGGTAAAATTAGCCTTGGAGTCTATCTGTCTTCTTCTTGGTGAAGCAACATCTGACTGGAAGACTATAAAGTCTATTATCATGAAGGACAATTTCATTAGCACTGTTGTCAATTTCAACACTGATGACTTGCCTGATGATATCAGAGAAAAGATGAAGAGCAGATACCTCAGTAACCCAGACTACAACTTTGAGAAGGTAAATCGTGCTTCTTTGGCTTGTGGCCCAATGGTGAAATGGGCTATTGCACAAATAGAATTTGCTGATATGCTGAAGAGGGTAGAACCTTTAAGGAATGAGTTGCGTAGCTTAGAAGATATGGCAAATGAAAACAAGAAAAAGCATGAAGATGTAAAATCATTCATCAATCGCCTGGAGCGCTCCATTGCTGCATATAAGGATGAATATGCTGTGCTCATCTCTCAGGCCCAAGCCATCAAGACAGATTTAGAAAATGTGCAGGCCAAGGTAGACCGTTCTATGGCTCTCATTAGGAACTTGAGTATTGAGAAGGATCGCTGGGCTGCAACATCAGATACATTCAAATACCAAATGTCAACAATAATTGGTGATGTGTTGTTGTCATCTGCATTCTTAGCTTATGGTGGATACTTTGATCAGCAGTTCCGTGAGAATTTGTTCACTAACTGGTGCCATCATCTCCAGCAAGCAAGCATCCAGTTCCGTGGTGATATTGCTCGAACTGAATATTTGTCAAATCCAGATGAAAGACTGAGGTGGCAGGCAAATGCACTTCCTGCTGATGAACTCTGTACAGAGAATGCAATTATGCTGAACAGGTTCAATAGATATCCACTGATCATTGATCCATCTGGCCAAGCTACAGACTTCATCATGAATGAGTTCAAGGACAGAAAAATAACTAAGACCAGCTTTTTGGATGATTCCTTCAGAAAGAATTTGGAGTCTGCACTTCGATTTGGTAACCCACTGCTGGTACAGGATGTAGAGAATTATGATCCAATTCTCAACCCTGTATTGAATCGTGAACTGAGGAGGACTGGAGGACGTGTACTTATAACACTTGGAGATCAGGTATGTGTTCAGATTTCTTAGCATTACCATGCTGCTGTATTAAATTGTTTAATAAGACTAGGATTTAATTATGAATATACACTTGTAAAAAACTTGTTAGTGAATTAAACTAATGCTTTTTCATTCATATTACATTGATGTGGATGTGGTGTGAGGGATCATGAAATATTAAAAAAAAAATTGATGTTTTATGCTTGATAATGTATCACTTAAAAATAGAATTTGATCATTAGTATATAATAATAACAAATTGGTGAATAAAATGCATGTGTAATAATTGGATGTGTCTAATCGAGATGTTTAGCCAACCAGGACGTTTTTGTGTAAATGTCTATATAGAACAAGGCTAAGGGACTGAATACCTTAAAATTACTTCTCCACTAGCAAGTTTCACCTATGCTGATGTCATCATTACTGCTTTCCTCTATTACCTCCATCTCACTGGTTAACATATAAAAGTAGTCGTAAGCATGTGTATTAAATCGGTAGTCCCTAGTTGGTGAAACGTTTCTTAAAGATATTCAGATGTTGCCCATGTCTTTCATTAATTATAAGTAGACTGAACATATGACAACATGCAGTATATGCTACATGAATGGTGGGCAAGATAATGTTGGGGAGATTTAAGATATCTGCGTGAAAGATCATTCGACTGAACTTCTTGGGAAGGGTTGCTTTTTAGCCTGGCATGGTGCAGGTATCTAACTTCAAATGAATTAAAAGCTTTCTTGTTGCCATTGATAAAATGCATCACATTTGTAATTAAATATTGTACTTTTCTTTTATATCCTAGCAAGTCTTGTAATTGTAAGCCCCTGTAGCTCAGTTAAGAACTTTTATAATATTGCTGCTAGTCAATGTTCAATGATGTTTTTTAGATAAATACAAAATTATATAATCTATGGCTTTCAGGACATTGATTTATCTCCAGCATTCACTATATTCCTGTCTACACGTGACCCAACTGTGGAGTTTCCTCCTGACATATGTTCTCGTGTTACATTTGTCAATTTCACTGTGACAAGATCATCACTTCAGTCTCAATGCTTAAACCAAGTTCTTAAGGCAGAACGACCTGATATTGATGACAAGAGGTCCAACCTCCTCAAATTGCAGGGTGAGTGACTGTGAACACTAAATTTAGTGATACATGCCTATATTTTTTGTCATTTCCTCTGTAAATCGTTTTTGGCTGAGGGATTGTGTAAGACTTTTTCCTCAGCATTTCATTAACTGATATTTGGAATGGGAATGGAATTGGCATGGAATGGGAATGGAATTGGCATGGAATGGGAATGGCATTGAAATGTACAGTAGGATACTTGGTTCACTAATTATTTTATTATTATCACACTGGCTGATTCCCACCAAGGCAGGGTGGCCCGAAAAAGAAAAACTTTCACCATCATTCACTCCATCACTGTCTTGCCAGAAGGGTGCTTTACACTACAGTTTTTAAACTGCAACGTTAACACCCCTCCTTCAGAGTGCAGGCACTGTACTTCCCATCTCCAGGACTCAAGTCCGGCCTGCCGGTTTCCCTGAACCCCTTCATAAATGTTACTTTGCTCACACTCCAATAGCACGTCAAGTATTAAAAACCATTTGTCTCCATTCACTCCTATCAAACATGCTCACGCATGCCTGCTGAAAGTCCAAGCCCTCGCACACAAAACCTCCTTTACCCCCTCTCTCCAACCTTTCCTAGGCCGACCCCTACCCCGCCTTCCTTCCACTACAGACTGATACACTCTTGAAGTCATTCTGTTTCGCTCCATTCTCTCTACATGTCCGAACCACCTCAACAACCCTTCCTCAGCCCTCTGGACAACAGTTTTGGTAATCCCGCACCTCCTCCTAACTTCCAAACTACGAATTCTCTGCATTATATTCACACCACACATTGCCCTCAGACATGACATCTCCACTGCCTCCAGCCTTCTCCTCGCTGCAACATTCATCACCCATGCTTCACACCCATATAAGAGCGTTGGTAAAACTATACTCTCATACATTCCCCTCTTTGCCTCCAAGGACAAAGTTCTTTGTCTCCACAGACTCCTAAGTGCACCACTCACCCTTTTCCCCTCATCAATTCTATGATTCACCTCATCTTTCATAGACCCATCCGCTGACATGTCCACTCCCAAATATCTGAATACATTCACCTCCTCCATACTCTCTCCCTCCAATCTGATATTCAATCTTTCATCACCTAATCTTTTTGTTATCCTCATAACCTTACTCTTTCCTGTATTCACCTTTAATTTTCTTCTTTTGCAAACCCTACCAAATTCATCCACCAATCTCTGCAACTTCTCTTCAGAATCTCCCAAGAGCACAGTGTCATCAGCAAAGAGCAGCTGTGACAACTCCCACTTTGTGTGTGATTCTTTATCTTTTAACTCCACGCCTCTTGCCAAGACCCTCGCATTTACTTCTCTTACAACCCCATCTATAAATATATTAAACAACCACTGTGACATCACGCATCCTTGTCTAAGGCCTACTTTTACTGGGAAATAATTTCCCTCTTTCCTACATACTCTAACTTGAGCCTCACTATCCTCGTAAAAACTCTTCACTGCTTTCAGTAACCTACCTCCTACACCATACACTTGCAACAACTGCCACATTGCCCCCCTATCCACCCTGTCATGCACCTTTTCCAAATCCATAAATGCCACAAAGACCTCTTTAGCCTTATCTAAATACTGTTCACTTATATGTTTCACTGTAAACACCTGGTCCACACACCCCCTACCTTTCCTAAAGCCTCCTTGTTCATCTGCTATCCTATTCTCCGTCTTACTCTTAATTCTTTCAATAATAACTCTACCATACACTTTACCAGGTATACTCAGCAGACTTATCCCCCTATAATTTTTGCACTCTTTTATCCCCTTTGCCTTTATACAAAGGAACTATGCATGCTCTCTGCCAATCCCTAGGTACCTTACCCTCTTCCATACATTTATTAAATAATTGCACCAACCACTCCAAAACTATATCCCCACCTGCTTTTAACATTTCTATCTTTATCCCATCAATCCTGGCTGCCTTACCCCCTTTCATTTTACCTACTGCCTCACGAACTTCCCCCCACACTCACAACTTGCTCTTCCTCACTCCTACAAGATGTTATTCCTCCTTGTCCTATACACGAAATCACAGCTTCCCTATCTTCATCAACATTTAACAATTCCTCAAAATATTCCCTCCATCTTCCCAATACCTCTAACTCTCCATTTAATAACTCTCCTCTTCTATTTTTAACTGACAAATCCATTTGTTCTCTAGGCTTTCTTAACTTGTTAATCTCACTCCAAAACTTTTTCTTATTTTCAACAAAATTTGTTGATAACATCTCACCCACTCTCTCATTTGCTCTCTTTTTACATTGCTTCACCACTCTCTTAACCTCTCTCTTTTTCTCCATATACTCTTCCCTCCTTGCATCACTTCTACTTTGTAAAAACTTCTCATATGCTAACTTTTTCTCCCTTACTACTCTCTTTACATCATCATTCCACCAATCGCTCCTCTTCCCTCCCGCACCCACTTTCCTGTAACCACAAACTTCTGCTGAACACTCTAACACTACATTTTTAAACCTACCCCATACCTCTTTGACCCCATTGCCTATGCTCTCATTAGCCCATCTATCCTCCAATAGCTGTTTATTCTTACCCTAACTGCCTCCTCTTTTAGTTTATAAGCCTTCACCTCTCTCTTCCCTGATGCTTCTATTCTCCTTGTATCCCATCTACATTTTACTCTCAGTGTAGCTACAACTAGAAAGTGATCTGATGTATCTGTGGCCCCTCTATAAACATGTACATCCTGAAGTCTACTCAACAGTCTTTTATCTACCAATACATAATCCAACAAACTACTGTCATTTCGCCCTACATCATATCTTGTATACTTATTTATCCTCTTTCTTAAAATATGTATTACCTATAACTAAACCCCTTTCTATACAAAGTTCAATCAAAGGGCTCCCGTTATCATTTACACCTGGCACCCGAAAACTTACCTACCACACCTTCTCTAAAAGTTTCTCCTACTTTAGCATTCAGGTCCCCTACCACAATTACTCACACTTGGTTCAAAGGCTCCTATACATTCACTTAACATCTCCCAAAATCTCTCTCTCTCCTCTGCATTCCTCTCTTCTCCAGGTGCATACACGCTTATTATGACCCACTTCTCGCATCCAACCTTTACTTTAATCCACATAATTCTTGAATTTACACATTCATATTCTCTTTTCTCCTTCCATAACTGATCATTCAACATTACTGCTACCCCTTCCTTTGCTCTAACTCTCTCAGATACTCCAGATTTAATCCCATTTATTTCCTGCCACTGAAACTTCCCTACCCCCTTCAGCTTTGTTTTGCTTAGGGCCAGGACATCCAACTTCTTTTCATTCATAACATCAGCAATCATCTGTTTCTTGTCATCCGCACTACATCCACGCACATTTAAGCATCCCAGTTTTATAAAGTTTTTCTTCATCTCTTTTTTAGTAAATGTCTACAGGAGAAGGGGTTACTAGCCCATTGCTCCCGGCATTTTAGTCTCCTCGTACGACACGCACGGCTTACGGAGGAAAGATTCTTTTCCACTTCCCCATGGACAATAGAAGAAATAAAGAAGAACAAGAGCTATTTAGAAAAAGGAGAAAAACCTAGATGTGTGTGTGTGTGTTGTGTGTGTGTGTGTGTGTGTGTGTGTGTGTGTGTGTGTGTGTGTGTTGTGTGTGTGTGTGTGTGTGTGTGTGTGTGTGTGTGTGTGTGTGTGTGTGTGTGTGTGTGTGTGTGTGTGTGTGTGTGTGTGTGTGTGTGTGTGTGTGTGTGTGTGTATATATATATATATATATATATATATATATATATATATATATATATATATATATATATATATATATATATATATATATATATATATATATATATATATATATATATTATGTGTGTGTGTGTGCGTGTCTGTGAAGTGTGACCAAAGTGTAAGTAGGAGTAGCAAGATATCCCTGTTATCTAGCGTGTTTATGAGACAGAAAAAGAAACCAGCAATCCTACCATCATGCAAAACAGTTACAGGTTTGTTTCACAGTCATCTGGCAGGACGGTAGTACTTCCCTGGGTGGTTGCTGTCTACCAACCTACTACCTACACTAATTATGGTCTATTAGTTAACGAAAGTTAAACGTACAGATACAGTGGTGCCTCGAATATCGGTCGAAATTTGTTCCAGAAGGCTGTTCAAGTGCCGTTACCAAACAAATTTGTTTTCATAAGGAATAATGTAAATTAGGTTAGTCTGTTTCAGACCCCTCAAAGAATACTTACAAAGGCACTTACAAAAATACACTTGCATAATTGTACGAGTTGGGAGCCGTTTGACATTCGACATACCACATACCACAGTATTAATGATACTTGGCACGAAGTATTTTGTTTTTATTTTTAACACTGGCAGTCTCCCACCAAGGTAGGGTGGCCCAGAAAAGAAAAAAAAAAACTTTGACCATCATTCGAACTCGCTGTCTTGCCAGAGGTGTGTGGTTACTATAGTTCAGATGCCCCTCCAAACTGCAAATATCCCCACCCCTCCTCCAGGGTACAAGCACTGTACTTTCCACCTCCAGAACTCAAGTCTGGCTAACTAGTTTCCCTGAATCTCTCTATAGATGTTACCTTACAATATTCAAGTCCCAAAAACTATTTGCTTCCATTCATTCCTATTTTTAGCACATGCACACATGCGCGCTGGATGTCCAAGTTGCTGCTTTTTTACTCTTCCTCCAACCTTTCTTATGGTGGCCCCTACCCTGTATTCCCTCTTAACCCTTGAACTGTCCAAACTTAGATCTACGTCCACGTGCGTAGCGCTCCAGACATAGATCTACGTCTGATTTTACATGCTTATGTAAAAAAAAATATGTAGATCTACTATCGGAGCACTACGCACATGGACATAGATCTGCGTTTGTGTAATGTCACCATGGTTGTTTAATGTATTTATAGATGGGGTTGTAAAAGAAGTAAATGCTAGGGTATTTGGGAGAGGGGTGGGATTAATTTATGGGGAATCAAATACAAAATG